TGTATCTACATTTCTTGTTTATGTCTGGTAATTCCTGTGTTGTCGACTGCAGATCGCAGGAAATAATAGTCTGTTTTGATTCTGCTATGCTGCCGTTATTTGACAATATTTTGTAGTACTAAATTGTGTTTGTGTATGGAAAAACAATAACGGTTTGTGAAAATTATGCTATGCAATGGCACTATACTGCTATTCGGCAGCACTGGATACTACTCAAGTGTAAATCCTTATAGGTTCTGTATGAATAGTTTACTTATTAGTTATTACTCGGACTTCGAACTACAGTAAATTGGAACTTTTATGTTGTTTTTCATATTGTGTTGATAGAAACATGGTTCTGTATAGAACATTAGCCGATTCCACTTAGTGGGATAAGTCTTGGTTGTTATTGTTGTTGTTGTTGTTGTTGTTGTTGTTGTTGTTGTTGTTGTTGTTGTTGTTGTTGTGTATCATGAATTTCCTGCCTTATTATCTTCATCCCTATGAATGATTTGCGGGACTGATGTATTTTTCCACGTTGCCGAATGATTTGCAGGAATTTGTGATATCTGCAGCTTTATATACAAGGTAATTTGATAAGAAAATCATTTGGCTGTAGAGGAGAATGGCGGAAACGATATCTAGCAGCTTCTGGGGTCCTGTCACGTCAACTATAGAGTGTTGTGAAAAAAACTATGCATATTCATCTTATATTGCAGAGTTTTACAACACAATATCCAACATTCCAACCATTCTTTTGGCTCTCATTGGTCTTATAAATGCTTTTAGACAACGGTTTGAGAAAAGATTTAGTGTTCTTCACGTATCTAATATGACACTTGCCTTTGGAAGCATGTTATACCATGCTACCTTACAACATGTGTAAGTGTTGATTTTGGTCTTCTTTTGCAGTAATTCATTGAATTTTGTTGTTTCTCTACCCTCGTAAATATCAATTATTATATTATATATACATATATGATATACATACCTGATTCACCACTGTTGTTAATTGTGGATTGTGAAGTATAGCAGTTTGCTTAAATTATGCTATGTTACACTGCTGTAGCTATTTGACAACACTTTGTACTAAATACCGTATCGCAGATCAATATAGATTTGCTCAAATTTTGCTCCTCTATTTGACCACACTATGGTGCACACAAGACACTTATGCATTTGAATTAAGAGGCTAGTATTTATGCCACTACATCCTTTCCCCCCTTGTATTTCTTCATATCCTATGTTAAACAATCGATATTGATAGTGACTATACCATAACTGTCTCCGGAACGCGTAGTTTGATTATTAGTTTCTTAGTTTATAAAAGAAAAAAAAGTTGTCAATCAATTTCTGTAATTTTTGGGTGACTATTTATTCTTCAAATGTTTCACTTTAATATAGGCAACAGCAGAGTGATGAAACTCCAATGGTGTGGGAGATTCTGCTGTACATGTACATCCTCTACTCTCCGGATTGGCACTACCGTAGTACAATGCCCATATTCCTATTTCTGTATGGTATTGCTTTTGCCGGTGTCCATTCATTTGTCCGTTTTGGCATTGGCTTCAAAGTCCACTATGTCTTTCTCTGTCTCCTCTGCATTCCAAGAATGTACAAGTATTACATCTACACGGCGGATGCTTGTGCCAAGCTGATAGCAAAGCTATACGTAGCTACTCTTCTATTAGGAAGTTTGTTTTGGTTATGCGACCGAGTTTTCTGCAAGGAGATATCCCAATGGCCAATCAATCCACAGGGTCATGCTTTATGGCATGTTTTCATGGGCTTCAATTCCTACTTTGCAAACACATTCTTGATGTATTGCCGTGCACAACAACGTGGCTGGTCTCCGAAAATCGTTTGTCTATTTGGTGTTTTGCCATATGTGAAGATTGAGAAGCCAAAACGCCAATAAGAGTTTATATCATGATGATACATATTGGAAGAGTTATCTGTGTTTTGCCGTTGGTTCTCAGTTTTGTTTTTCTGATTTAGATTGGTTTAAGTGATGATAATTTTTTATATATTTTGTTGCAGCTTTAGGACATGTACCATATTTATAAGCCATATGGATGCTTTCTTGGTCTGAGACTTTTGTTAACACTACTTATGATGACAACCAAAAGTTTTGCAGTAACATGGTTGTTTGTTTCTCTGTTTCATACCACATTTTTAATTGTAACATATTATGTAACCCTTTCTAGTTGAGTTTTTGAATATGTTATTAACTTGTGGAGCTTTAAACTTTGGTTTTATTGAGAAATTTCTTGATGCTTTGCTATTGAGTTTCATCAAGACATGAAACTATTTAAAACTTTATTTTTGCAAGAAGCCATTTAAGAGTCAGTAATTATGACTAACACATTTTTAAAAAAACTAGTTTAACAATGATAGTGAGAACATATTTTAACAAAAAAATAATAATTGATTTTTTTAAATAAAAAATATAAATACATTTTTATGTTTGTATTTTTTTATTACTGGTCTAGTGTTCAACACTAAATTAAACATTTACTGAAAAGAGTATTGCGGTGACCTGGATTTGAATTCGGAATTCTACCTAAGTTGTCCTCAAAGTCCACCATACTAGATCTAGATTACTTATTTAATGGCTTAAGTGTATGATTGGTTTAATATTAGATCTAAAGTATTTTCTTAATGGCTTAAGTGTGTGATTGGTTTTAATATTAGATCTGAAGTATTTCTTTTAGGATTTATGTCAACCCCACACTTATACATATCCGTTTTTATTATTATATCTTTCTAAATAATTACTTAATTTCAAAAAATATGAATTTTATTGGAAATTTTGAATCTGTCTCAAATTTAAAAAAAAAAATAGATTTCTTTGAAACTTTCAGAAAAAAAAAATCGAAAAAGTATCAGATTTTTTGAAAAATCTAATACTTCATTTTTCGGGAAAAAACAATTTTTTTACACACCCGAAAATTTTCAGTACAATATAAAAAAATTTGAGATTTTCGATACAGTATCAAAAATTTCTATATTTTCCAAATTTTCCAAAAAAAAAAATTTTAATTAGAAGTTTCGTTCTTGGATATCTTCCAATTTATTCAAGAATATTTTTGAAATAAAACAAATTAAGAATGTCATGTATAATTTAAGGGATGTCATTTTAAATCTTCTATTATTTTTAATGGCATAAGTGTATGGTTGATTTCGTATATAAAGCAATCAAAATTAATTTTAAATGTGTATAATTAATTTTGATATGTTTGATTATTTTCGAGTAGAATTATTATGATTATATAAAATTTTAATCTAAAATGATGTTTATTTACCATTGAGCTAAATTTTACAAAAATTTATCTAAATATAAATTATTTTATCTCCAATTCACCTTTATAGGTAAAATCAATTTTAAAAAATTAATTCGCTTAAAATTAGTTTTTCTTCAACATAACCAAACATTGACTATTTTAGATACACTGTAAGTTTAGGGTAGATAGAGATTTAAATCATTGCATCATAATGCAAGTCGTATATTTACTTTTTTTTATCAAAATTAAATTCAACACCACACTCTCAGTCTCGAGTAGATAGATACCTTCTATGTAAAATAGTATTAGTATTCAAAAATGAATAAACCATTTCAATTTTTAATAAACTTTTTTTAATTCTATTATTTAATTGATAAAAAATTTATTATTTTCAATATATAATTAGAGATGTTAGTAATATAGTAAAAATATTATTTTCTCTTACTTTTATACACTTTAATATATGTAATAGTATGATCAACTGAGTCATTTATTATGAAATGGAGAGACTATTTAAATCACATCATATTCCAAACTCTTTTTCCGATAAGGAGTACTCCCTCCGTCCCAAAATATTTGTCATACTTGACATTTTCATACAAATTAAGAAAATGTGATAAATGAAAGAGGAGAATAACAATTTTAATAAACTATCCAGATTGATTATTGGTGTATTCAAATTATTATTAATGTAAGGTCATAGAAATAGTAAATTAAGAGTATTAGTTAGAGAATATAATTAAAAAATAAAACCTAAAAGTGCATCGGAAACTAAAGACTATACTTATTTTGAGAGATTTTTTTTATAAATGCGACACTTATTTTAAAACAGATAGAATAATATTTTTTGTACTGTAATTCACAGAAGAAGAAAAAAAAAAAGACAAGGCAAGAAAACAACACAAATAGGAGCTCTAAATCCAAATCAAGATGAAATCTGAACTTAACAAGTATGACTTGATAGCGATTTAATTTGTACCATGTTCAAAATCCCTTTTAACTTTGGGGTAATCAATTCTGCTGTGTAATGCCCAACAAAAAAGACAATTCAAGAAAACAACACAATTATCCATATTCCATAGGCGCTTTAAATCCAAATCAAGGTGAAAAAATCAGAGCTTAAAGTATGATTTGATAGTGATAGTAATAGTATGGCAAACATAAAAATAGGTGAATTCATGAGAATTTGAATCTGAACAATTTATTGGCATGTTATAAATTATTTTCGTAAATTCTCAAAAACAATCTCATGTCACTATATAAACTCAGATAAGTCACTACAGACAGGTATATAGTTAGTGTTTCCTTCACAATATTTGCAACATGTCATAGTATGTAGAACAAGATTTTTTGTTTTATCGCAATGGAATCAACTACCCAAAGTCATTCAAATTACAGTTAATTGAATGATGTTAACACTCCCCTCAAGGAACTGAGTAACAATACAGGCGTTCCTCTTGGGCTGCCATTGGCTATTTGAATATTCCAAGATACTCAGTGACTAATGGCTGTTCAAGTAAATCAATCAATAGAATATTCAATAACAGAAGCGAGAAACAGAAGGAGATGTTTTAACTGTCAAAGTACACACTATACACATCTTGACAGGTTCCTGAATCTTTTGTTTGGTTTCACTCAAAAGATAGAAGGCGCATTTAAAAGTATCTTTTTTCCATTTCCCTTGTAAATGAAGGAATCAAATAGAAGGAGAAAGGACAAATACACCTCGCGATGGATCTAAGACATCATTTCAATTCCTTGTTGCAACATTTCCCCAAGCCTCCTATATAGAGCTTCTTGTTCATCGAATGATAGGTTCATCAATATCTGAAGCAACCAGCATAAACACCATAAATACAACATCTTTCAAAATGTAATTTAAAAAGAGTGTTGCTATAATACCTGGTCCAAAATCATTTCAACCGATAAACTTTGCGGCACAACAAAGGACTGATGATATATATATGCAAACACGGCCATAACCATCTACACAAGAACAAATTGGTCAAATATTACTTAACTTCTACTTGCACATCAAAACAAGATACTACCAGGATGGTTTTCACTTTCAGCCTCGTAGTCTCATACTCATATATTGAATGAAAAGGACTAAAGATACAAATAGTATAAAGGAGGAGTTAAGTTAAAATTAGTGACAAGTGGAGGAGCAAAAGTAGGTCAGTGCATAACTACATATTATAAAATAAGCACAAAATACCTCTACTGACTTCCACAAATGATATAAAATCATTCTATTGATTGCAAGATTATTAGTCATTGAAGATTTTCAGTGAATTCATTGAAGATCCTTTGAGGTCTGAATGTTTTCAATTCCTATAATTAAGTGAATTTAGAATTCCCCTCTATTTGTATATTTAATGTGCAATATCATCTTTAATGCTTCATAAAAGTTTTCATCCTCGGAAGTTACATTCTTCTCCTTTTTTATAACTTCTTTTGGGAGTAAGGCAGAGAGATGTGGGAGAGAACTATGGTTCTGATTCTTTTGAATATAGTTTATGTATAATGATATTCCCAAGTAGTCAAATCTTACAAACTTAGAATTAATTTATACTTCCTTAAGATTGAATTATAAGCAAATATTTGGTCAAATCAAGCACATTAAGAAAGGTGGTTGATCACATTTAATCTGTGCAATTCCAATTAAAAAATTAAGCATATTGTCTAAATTAACCTCTGACTAGTAAATTTGATCATTGGAAATATAAATCTAATTAAATAATGTATATCAAGAGTCTACCTGGCAGTCCATTCTGTCGGTAATTCCACCGTGTCCTGGAATACTGTCGCCAAAATCCTACAAGAAATGGGAACAGACATTTTATTATGTATATCTCAGACTTAAATGGTAATATATTATCACATGATCGCATCTTGATCAGAAAAATAAAGTGCCAAGAGCATACCTTTATTTTAAAAGCCCTTTTGAAACCACTTGCAAAGAAGCCTCCGAAAGGTGCGATAATTGAAGCAAACAAGCCAAGACATAAAGCATGCCATTGAACTGGTAGGATTGATATCTCTTTCCAAGGAAACTGCACAAAACAATATACAGTGTGTTAAAAGATATGATTTTCAGGGTGTATGATTGAAGTCTCATGATTACAGTAGAATCATATTTTATAAACTGAACTGCAAAACAGAAAAAGTTTAAATTCAGTGGTTGGTAGAAATGCCGGCTTTCAAATTCTATGTTGGTGCCTTAATAATGTCAATTTTATCTAAGAATCAAATGTAGAATGAATGGTCAAAATTTGACTTCTTTGAGCAACTCAATGATAGGGTCAATTGAGCTTGTGCCATTGATTGAGCAGTCTGGGTCTGTGACCCAGCTGTTTTCTAAGTAATCCCTGCACTTCTTTATCCAGATTAGATTCACATTCCAATTCCATATGCTTTTCAAGTTTTTTCAAGTTTTTTGAGTCTCCGAAGTCAAATTAGATGTCCTCCTAGCTGTTTGAGGCCATCCAAATTGTGTTATTTGTAAATGTGGGTAAGTTATCTGGTGAATTTTGTACTACGATCCCACATAGCCATAAACTGCAAAGATATTGTTGTAGGTTATAGAATTCAAAGTTCAACTGAATGTCAAGTAATTACCCAGTGAGGAGTCCATCCTAACAAGGAGTAAGATTCTGGCTTAAACAGTAGACCCGGATCACAGTCAAGCCAACCAGTTGATAAATCCTGCATTTATTCCCACCATGTTGGTGATGTGAACACAAGTCAGTTGGTTTTTGAATAAAAGACCTTTTAATATGTATTGTGTCAAGAGAGCTACCTTCCTAGGACATGTAAACCATGGAGAACGACCCATGATGTTAGCAAGCTGCAAAATGAGTTTTGTACAATGATATTAGCATCCAGTTCAGAATAGTGTCATTGATATTTAAAAACTAAAAGCAAGAATTTAATTGCCATTAACATGATCATTCAATAATGTTCACAATAATGAATATATAACATCACAAGTGATTCTGGATCAATGAAAGCATTACCCCCCATAAAAAAACGTGTTTTATCTTCATTAAGCAGATAAAATTTGCTCACCATGAATGCAGATATGATGGTTGTAACAGATGCCCCGATAAAACCCTCCCAGGTTTTCTTTGGTGACAACTTAATCAAGGGGGTTTTTCCAAAGAAGAAACCAAAGAAATAAGCAGCAATGTCATTTATGACAATAAGCGTTGCTGGAAGAAGAAACCTGTACAAAAAGTCAGCAAAACAGAAAAATCAATTCAATTAAAAAGCAATGAAGCAGTTACATGTTCTGTTCATGTAATAATACATACATACATACATACATAAAATCAATTCAATTAAAAAGCAAAGAAGCAGTGAAATGTGATGTTCATGTAATAGTACATACATATACAAATCACTTGAAAGCTTGTCAGTCAGATGATGCCATTTTATTAGCAAGAAAATAATTTTTAGAGAATATGAATTAACATAATACCTTCGACAATCAACCAAAGTAAAAAGTAAATGAGTGGGGAAAGATAGGTGTGAATAGAGGTTAGAATGATGTAAATAAGCAATTCTCTGTAGGAAATAAATCTATTTAAATGAAGAATTGCTTATTTACATCATTCTAACCTCTCTATTCATGCCTATCTTTTTCCCCTCAATTACTTTTTACTAGAATATTCACATAACAACGAGGAGAATTCAAGACATAAAGATATGGCCTCATATCTCCCATCTCATTTGTATGTTTGCTCACATCAATGACTTAGTTTATGCTTATGAATGTAATTATAAGTTCAACAGCCTTCCGAAGACTATTTGATTCCACATTTGCTTATTATAAAGTGATTCATTTTAAAACTTCATCCCCAACCCTGAAAAGTCAGCAAGTAATCCTATTTTACAGCTTTATTGGTTTTCCAAGAAGTCATCTGTTAGGAGAGTATAATTATTTGGTCACCTCCCATGCGGTAGTAAATTGTCCCTCATTGCTCAATCCCTAATCTTTTCTCCATCTTTTTTCCTATCCTAAGACTTCAGTTCCACTGTTTTGGCAGGAATTGAAAATTTCCCAAGTGATTTAGCCTACATGCACACCAAATATGCAATTCACTAAACCATCCTTTCAGGGGATTATTATGGACAAATACCTATCAGATGCCATCTAACATAAAAAGCTGTTGGCATGGATTACGAACAGCATCACGAAATATGATATCATGCAAACAAGAATCCTCAAAAATAGTCAAGTATTTTGGGCATAATTATTGAACAATCATTATTTCCTTTTATTGGTTAAATTACCAGAAAATCCCTTCAAAAATGCTTGGCACGGTGAAAGAGGATTGCCCAAATACAACAATCAGAATCATGTGTGTCCAAGCATACTGGCCAAATTGGTACTTGTACATCTTCTTCTTCAATGTGAGAATGAACCATATGAATCCTGAGCCCAATCAATAAAAGGGAAGATAATCAAAGTATAAGAGTACTTACATTGGTGCAAAATCATCAGTAAAATTGCAATCCTAAAAAACTAGAAACCAAATTTGCCAGGCATCTGGACATTGCACAAAACCCAGCTCATGAACATTAAAACAACAAAAATGATATGCATAGGTTACCTGTAATGTACAGGGAATAGCAGACAACCATGTGATACTTTATAAGACTGCTCACAAGCCGATATAAAACCTTGTCGGAATTTACTGTGTTAACCAGGCGCTGACTGAGAATACGTCCATAAACAAATAGCATTGCGGTGAAGAAAAAATGCCTGTAATGGGGATATGCCAATTAAAACTGGAACAAGTTATTACATGTTTTTCTTTTAAATCAGATAGCGGATTATGGCGCAGAGTAAAAAAGCCACCGTATAAATAGGGTGCTGCAGCCTATGGCAGATATAATAGGTGTTTCGGAGGCGGGCAAAAAACTTGCCTTGCTATAACGCTGCGACGCCGCATTGGCAGAAATTTGACAAAGCGGACATAAAATAATAAATTTCCTTGGAGTGAGATTAATGAGTTTATAATATATACCAATTTAATAGCCTAAATCCTGGAAGCTGCTTATCTTCATGAGCTCGACGGAGTAGATTGAAAAGTTCTCTTGCCATGAAGATTTGAATGACCACAATCATTGCAGTAATGTAGAGGTGACCCATATAGATGATCAACACAAAGCTCCCAATCATCCAAACGGATGAATATGCACGAATTAACATGGACTTGTATTTGCTTTTGTCATTAACAAGTAACTGAGCACCGTTTGATTTACTAACTTCTGGAATAACCTGATATAAAGACATCATACAATAAACCACTTTCAAAAGGTATACAAAAACTTCTCCAAACAATACTGCAGTGATTCAGATCCTAAATCATTCAACTTATTAATTTCATAGTAAGTATTGTCAATCGTGTACTGCGAAAAATAGTGATTTGTTCAAATTCCACAATGCATTAGTGCTGTAGCGCTGCTATATCCACTATTTGACAACATTTTGTTGTAAATAGCGTATCACTGAACAATATCAATTTGTTCAAAATCTACTATGCTATAGCGCCTTTATTTAACAACTCTGCAATGAGTTTGACAAAATTATTTTTTGCTATTGTTCAGGAATACGCAATGCTATAGCGCCGCTATTTAACAACCCTGGAATGAGTTTCACAAAATCACCAAACCACTACAATTTTGTTGAAACTCCAAAATACAACTTTTGCCAAACCACAATGGCACGCGGCTATTCTGCTAAATTCACCACCTATGAAGGTAAAATCATCAAGTAACATAATACAAACTATGAAGCGCAGACACCCTAAACACGATCCCAACATTGACACAGCGACACTGGTAATAATTTAAAAAAATTAATTAATTAAACGTAATTACAAGTGTCGGTGCAGGTGTCTAACAACACTGGCACGTCTTTTTTCAATAACAAATGATAAAAATATAAAACCTAAATTTATTAAGTTAAAAACAAAATAAAATAGACCTAGCCTCCAATCATAACCTTTCCATACTTAGATACATTAGACAAATTTTACACTCTCTTCAAATTTCAGGATAATCAATACTGCAAACTGAATCAATTTCAAAATGAAACAAAAAATAAAAAACTACTAACACAGAACACTTTAAATTCATACATAAAATAAACAGCAATTAAAAGTGAGAAATCAAAGTTCAACGAACTAATTAACCTCATTAGAGCGTTTCCGGTGCCTAATCCGTCCAGTGTTAGTTGACGGAGAACTACTAGTAGTAGTATCCTTTTGCATAGCTCTCGAATCAAAATTTCACAAAAATTGAATCAACGTAAAACGAACATGTGTAACCGCCACAAAGTAGAAACCTGCAAATGATGAATTCGAAGATGAAAAAGAGTTTCAGATTCAAAAATTTCAAAATCAGAAACAGTAGCGAAACCTTGTTTGGCTCTGAACGACGAAGTCGGTAGTGAGAGAACGAAGTGCGCGAAGAAAAGAGGTTATAAGAGGCAAATACGAAGAAGAATATTGATATAACCCAATCGGTGATGAAGCTTTTTTTTTGTTTGTTGCTAAAAAGTTTTGAAAAGAAAAATTCTTTTTCTTGTTCTTGGCTTAACAGCGCACGCACACTTACTGATGCAATAGGATCATTATTGTGAGGGATTCCGATTCCTTCATTTTATTTATCTATTTATTGACATTTTTTATTAATATATTTTGTATTGTCATATTCTTTTTTCTTGTATGGTTTTTTATTTTCTGATTCAGTGTTTTTTTATAAATTTATAATGTGTTATATTAGGAAATTAATGTAAATGCTAAAGGGAAAACTTAGATAAAATCATATAATTATGATTTAATCAAAATAACTTAAAGTTTGGTTACTTACTTAAATATTTACAAAAACTATTAGAGTTTGACTGTTCACATTACTTTCATTCTTTTTAATAAAAAATTGATATATTTATAAAAGAAAATAGAATTGGAAAATGTGAATTCCATTAAATAATATTTTTATTTTTAATCTAACATAAATATATAAAACTTTTATATTACAATATAACATTTTTATTAAAAGTTTTGATTGGACTAATAATAAAGATACAATCGATTTTTTGTTAAACTACTCTCACCACATTTATTTGCCATTAATTGCGTTCTATGTGTCATCACATAAGAAATTGTTACAATTTATCATTATTTTAATCACTATTATCTAATCATATAGTGTTATTAATACTCCACTAACCAAAATAACTAAAGTTATATTTATATTCTTTGAACCCAATCATGCACATAGATGTAGAAGAGGAAAAGTCACATTTCAAATAACCTCTGCGTCCAACTTCCCATAAACCCTTGAGTGTTTGAGTTACCAAAGCTGAACTATTACATAAACACAATGTCACTCATTTCAGTTCCACAAGATATTGCTTCGGTAAATTGATTTTCGTGACCAAAATATTGCTTCAGTAAATTTATATATACTCACGATTTCCATTGCAACACACCCTTTCTCAAGTTCACTTAGTTGATTTTTGTGATCAGTCCTTTCTCATCTCTCTCCCTACTTCCAGTCGCTTCCATTTGCTTCATCATCTTCCCAAAATTTCTCATCTCTTTCTAATACAATAGCAAAGCCTCTCCCGATATCGATCCTCATAGTTTCGAAAAAGAAAACAATGGCAGCAAGTGCTCTCTCACTCGACCGTGCATTAACGAACTTTCTGCTTACCTCTCGAAAAACGATCTCGCGATCTCTCTGATGGCGTAAATGAAGGTAAAGGTATGTGAATTTGAAACTTCGATCTTCTTCTCTTCCTCTCTTCATCTCTTCCTCGTGGTTTCTGAATCTGTTTATTTCACTAAATCTTTTAGTCTTCCTGGGATCAGTATGAACTGTCAACAATAATTATTGATGGAAGGCAGCGATTGCTGAAGAGTGTAAATGGGTAATTTGCAGATGAAAACCCTAATCGATCTTTTGAATCGTTGTTCGCAATGATTTCTGGCGAAACAACCGCTAGTCTTCCAAACAAAATTGATATGTATGGTTACTCGCAGGATCGACTAGATTGATCCTGGGACATTGTCTTAACATTAATTGTAATACTTTCTTGACGGTTTATGTTAAACACGACGTAATACTTGTGCATGTGTTTGTGTAAAGGCTTGAAATACAAAAGACTTCTGAAATTAAATTCAAATGTAAAGGTTTAGACGAAGCGTCTTAATTAAAAAGAATGTTTGAATGTAAATACTTGACAATAAAAAGACTTAAAACTGAAATTAAATGACTTGATTGTAAAGGAAAAAACCTTTTAAAAGAAATTTGATTTATAAAGCTTTGCAGGAAAATGAAACAATTCGACAGAACATGAAGAAATTAAGAACAATTGCAGGAGTACGTAAAAGAATGGTTCAAAAGAAAATTATGTTGATAAGTGCATTTCAAAGATAAAATTGTGAGGTCATACGTACATTCTCAATGAACTATTTCTCTGTAACTTGGTACTTGAGTATTTTGTGAGTAACTTTGTACGAATTATGATCCTCTATTTCCCTAACACTAAGGAGCTATTTATAATGTTCTAACCATAACGGTATTATTCTAAGGAAAAGCCACGTTGCTTCTTGCATGTCTTTCGACACTCTAAGGCTTCCACGCGTCCTTCTTATCCAAAGAAACTATTTTTCGAATTTTAAACATTCCCGCTCAAGCCTTCAGCAACGACTTTCTTACGTGGCCGTCGAAAACGCGCGTCTTTGACAAAACAAAAACACTTGTCTTTTCAAACTGTCTTCGACTCAGATCTAGTAATAATATACTTCGACTATAGCTTTTTTCAAGCCATCTTGTGGAAATTTTAAATGTAAAGGTTCCTTTATTAACCTGGTCGAAATTCCCAGCTAACAAATTGCCCCTAATAAATGTCTGTTTCGAATATGTGCAGAAATAGGCATTTCTTGCGATTTACGTTATTTCGATCAACAAAGAGAACCTTTTCGTATTTCAATGATATCATTATGAGCAACCCCTTCATAGATTGATTTTGAATGATTGCAAATATAATATAACATGTTTGAATAAGCCAAAATTACATTTCTCTCATAATTCATCTTTATGTGTCGACACATCAAGTTTTGTATCGATACATAGCCTTCTGAAGTCCCTGGACTTGTATCTCAAAACTATTATGTATCGATACAAAAGCTTATGAGTCGATACATAACTCTTTGATGACCCTGGAATGTAAATCTAATAACTGCATGCATCGATACATGCATTCCATGCATCGACACATAATTTGTTGTTGCCCCTGTAATACTTGTATGAATCGACACAAAACCTTATGTATCGACACAAAACATTCTGATGATTCTGGAAAACATTTTGAAACTTATATGTATCGATACATAATAACATGTGTCGACTCATACTATGTTTCAAATTCAAAAGTTAAATTTATAATCAGTATGTATCGACACATACGCATTATGTATCGATACAAAACATTCTGATGATTCTGGAAAACATTTTGAAACTTATATGTATCGATACATAATATCATGTGTCGACGCATACTATGTTTTAAATTCAAAATTTAAATCTGCAATCAGTATGTATCGACACATACGCATTATGTGTCGATGGGTATAAAAGTGTTGGTTCTGTAAAACACTATAACAGGTTTTTGTATCGACTCAAAACATAATGTATCGACTCATCCTGTTACATGTAACTAACATGAGTCGACACATGACCAACATGCATCGACTCATGCACTTTCTTTTTGACTAACCGTTTTCTGTTATAAATATAAGCAAGCAATTTTCTTCAGAAAAGAATATAGCAATATAGAAGATTGTGAACAACCAGAAGCTTTTGATTCCTTCATCTTCATCATCTTCTCAACCATCTTACATTCAAGAACAACAAAGAAAATCAATCATCCTTGTTGAATTGAATCAAGCGGTTTGAGATAATGTTCAGCTGTGTATTGAAGAAGTCTAGCTGAGTTGAAGGTTGAAGAGGAAGCTTCAAGAAATAAACCAGAGGGTTTGTCCTTCAAGAACGGGTGTGTTCTTGAGGGTTTTGTCAGTCACAGTCACGCGAGTCGGATTCAGCCGTAGTGAGGGGTTTGGAAATCGGAAGGATTTTGAACAAACAGGTCGTGGAAGCGGAGGATCGTTCGGTGACTTTGCAGGGAATCTTGATACAACTCTTATCAAGTGGTGGTTCTTACAAGAAGAAGAAGATCATAGGGATTTCTGTCTTTCTGTGTAGTGTAACCTTGCTATCAAACATCCAGCATATTGATATAAAAGTTCTCAGTTTTGATTGTGAAATTGAGAGGGAGACGTACCCACACGCGAGGACGATAATGGGGAACTTCCTTACCAAACTGCTTGTGTATCGTTCTCTCGTTTCTTTCTCTTTACAGTTTTACATATTCTATAATTTTGTAATTCAATTGGCGTGCTAAGTTTTACAGTCTAATGATAAACATAGTGGCTCAAACATTTTCACCAAACCACCACTATTAAATCATTATACAAGCATACGCCAATTGTTTGACAAAATTCCTATTATATTTCTAAATTCATTGGAAATTCTGTTTTATGATAAGTGCATTGAAATGTCAAGATTTCTGAGTTGTATATTCATCCATTCCATTCAATAAAATCCAGCAAATTTTTCACATGTCAATATTTCTAGTAGTCGGTTCAAAGTAGACGGAATTGATTCAGGATATTAATTTTTGCTGCTTTCAACTCTCTTTGATAAAACTATTTTAAATCCTTGAAAAAGAAGAAGTGATCTATTCACCCCTCCTCTCAATCACTTGCCACACCGTCTAACAAGTGGTATCAGAGCACCGGTTAGCTGGTGCTTTGTATCTACTCGTAACGCTATGGCCTTTGAACCAAATGGGGCGTATAATAGAGCTCCTATTTTCAATGGTGAAAACTATGACTACTGGAAAGACTGCATGCGAGTACACATGAATTCCATTGACATGAATGTATGGACTGCCATTCAAAATGGTCCTTTTCAAATCACCATGAGGAATGTTGCAGGTGCAATAGTACCTAAACCTGAGGATCAATGGAATGAAATGGATGAAAAGAAATAGTCGTGCGATTGGAGAGCCAGAAATATGATGATCTTAGCACTTGGTGTTGATGAGTATTATAGGGTGTCTCACTGCACGTCCGCTAAAGAAATGTGGAACGCTTTAGAAATTGCCCATGAAGGCACAACTGAAGTTAAACAATCCCGCATTAATACACTCAATCAAGAGTTTGAACTCTTTCGCATGAAGCAAGGAGAATCTGTCTCTGACATGCAGAAGAGATTCGTACATCTTGTGAGTCGTTTAAATGCACTTGGAAAACCTGTTTCCAATGAAATTGCTACTAATAAAATTCTGAGATATCTTAGCAGAGAATGGCAACCTAAAGTAACAGCTATCAAGGAAGCAAATGACCTCACTACGCTTACCATTACAACTCTGTTTGGAAAGCTAGAAGAACATCAACAAGAATTGCAAAGTCTTGAAAAATACGAAAACAAGAGTAAGAAAGAAAGGAACAAAGACAGGGAGAGTGAGAAGAAGTCAATAGATCTAATGACTTCTAGCTCTAAGTCCTCAACCAAAGAGCAAGATGAAAATTGCTCAACTAGTGATGAAGATTCTGATGATGAAGAAATGGGATTTTTTGTTCGGAGATACAATAGATTTATTCGAAAGAATGGAATCAAGCACTCTGATAAGAATATCATAAGCTTTCGAAAATAATCCAAAGAACCAAGGCAAGAAGAAAATAAAAAGCAAAGAGGTAAAGGACATTGTTACAATTGTGGTAAAGTTGGACACTACAAACAGACTGTCCAAAGATGAAAAAGGATAAAGAAAAAGCTCCACCAAAGAAGTTCAACAAACAAAGAAGAGCTTATATTGCGTGGGAAAGCGACAACGATTCATCAGACGATGACAGTTCAAGTTGTAGTGATGAAAGTGCAAATTTATGTCTGATGGCACATACAAAAAATCAATTCTACAACAAGAAAGACAACCACAACAAACAAGTAAGACAAGCATATCCTAACAACTTTTCTTCTATGACCTTTTCTGAACTAAAGTTAGCTTTTGAAAAGCTGCAATACAAAGCTGAAGATGCCTTTAAGAGATTATCCTCCGATAAACAAATATTTTCATTTCTCGAGAGTAAAGTATATAAAGCTGAGAAAGACTTAAAAAGTCTAAAAGCTAGTATTGTAGAAAGTTCAAAAGATAAGGATGTTACAGGATGTATTCCCAGAAGGGAATGTGAAGTTTGTCATATTTGGCAGCAAGAGGTTAGGACTCTTAATGCCAAATTAGAAAAAGATTTACATCCCAAAGTTACTTTTGCAATCGATCTTAAAATTTTTAAGAAAACATTAAATCCATCGTATTCAAAATACTCTTTTGTTGAAAAATTAGCAAAGGATACAATGGGCAAAAGTAAAATAATACATCATCATCATGGTTTATGCCATTATTGTTGTCACTTTGGACATACCATTGAAAAATGCAAGTTTAGGAGGTTCATTGTTCCTAAAGGCATTTACCAATGGAGGCCTAAAGGCAACCATGTTACCACTTACCCACATGGACCCAATAAAAATTGGGTACCTGCCTCTCTCTTTTGATATTGCAGGAAAAATGCCTCACACCCATGGATAGAAGATGGTTTTTAGACAGCGGGTGTTCAAGGCATATGACCGGTGCCATATCGCTCTTCATTGACTTCAAGGCAAAGAAGAAAGGATTTGTTACCTAT